ATGAGCCACACTATAGGACACTAAATGCACGAGCGCTTTTCTAAGGCAACTGGTATTGATACTGCTTCACATGCTGCCTGCACATGAGAGAAAACTTGGGCGTGGGCTTTGGGGGGCCTTCAACAGATGCAGCCGCCATACCAGTTGTGGAAGGGTCAACATGCTTCCACACTCCACTCCAAGCCAAAAAATCTCAGCCATGCAGAAGGTCCAAGGATCAATGCTCTCACTATTGAATCCAAACATGCCACAACCCCCAGTAGAAAAAATAAGCCGGTGGTGCTGCACGCACCAACTCGAGGCTCAAGTCGAACCTGCCAAGCTTTCCGCTTGGGCGCCATCGCTCGACCTGAGGTTCAAAGGCAAGAAGGAGGAGAGGGAAAAGTGTCGGAGAGGGCTTGGCAACATTTGGCAACATAGGTCATATAATGAGCAAGTATAATAGGATTGACTTCGATGAAAAGGTGGTTGAAGTAACCCAACAAATTACATGTTTGGCTGGGGCACACTCTCAAGTCAACCAGGTTTCGAAGGTCTAGTAGGCCAATCCCAAACCTCCAAGTGGTGGCAAATTTGCGGTTCCTTTTCGCTTTTGAGTGGCCAGCTTGCAGGGTTCTGGGGATTCAGGGCTCACTACCTCCCTGAGCTGCTATACATTGCAAGCATTGAGCTTGCTAGCCCAAAACAATTGCCACAAGAGTTTGAACCATCAGATTGTGTTCCTGCACTGCACGCTGACTTGAAAAAGAGTTGCGGAGTGGGAAAGCGGAGAACATGGCAATTGTTACTCCCAAAAGCAGCACAAGGCTTCCCTGTCCCAAACCTATCCCGCAAGAGCTTCGCTCCTTTGTGCATTCCTCTACCCTAAATTGTTGGCGTTCCAAAATCACCCCAGCAACGCGAACCTACCAAACATACCAAAACAACTTAAGCTGATGCTGACTGATGCAAAGAAATAACACACTCACGACTCACAACTTTTATAAGTTGATGCCCTGGGGCCAAATATAGCCAAATCTAATCAAATCTACTTGACAGAATGAACGTGTTCAGCCCGAAAAGCTTTCCGGGGTTTTCCCTAGAAAGTGCGCGACTCCAACCGCCTTCACAAGGTCCTGCAGAGCCTGCTTGTACCCCAACACGCATGGATCATCCACAGGCTTGAGCTCGTCCTTGGGCTTGTCGCCACCCACGAATTCAACCTGAGGGGAGGGCGGTAGAACAAGTTGAGAGGGGGTTGACCCAAGACACAAACGCCCAGGTTGTATTCCCATGTGCTTACCTGTGCTTGTACCATGCACAGCGCTCAGCAAAAAAACAACTTGGTGCCCCGCATACATTCGAATGGCTTCCAGTGGCAGCCCAATGTGAAGACAATGGCCACCTCCAAATGAGAGAACATGTGCTGCACCTTTGCCACTAGGACGTTTCTGAAGGAGGCCAATCCTCTTGCTGTCCCAGTACATGGAGAGGCTCCAATGCTGCCGCTTTTCAAGTGTTTCGTGCTGGTTCTCGCGGGTCACTTCAGGAGCCTCCATGGCCTTGAAGAGTCGCAACACATGGTGCCATGCAGCATCATCCGCCTTGGCTTCCATCAGCGCCTTCATGGCAGATTTCCGCGCTGCTTCTCCTGGAGGTTTTGGCGCAGCCTTAGCAGGCTTCGTATCTTCCTCCATCGCCTTGGGCTCATCCTCTGGAGCCTTGGGCTGGGGCTCATTAGAAGGCGCTGCTGCTGCCTTCGCTTTGGCCTTGGCGGCCTTCCTCACCCTCTTCTTCTCTTGCTTGAGAGGTGGTGATTCCGCCAGCGGGTGGGGCTCTTCAGGCACCTCAGGGCTTCCACCATGCAACTGCCGTTTGGCTTGGCACTTCTCTGGAGTGCGCTGCATAGCAGAATCTCCCTGCGGTGGCTTGGACGGGTCACCCTCTTCTCCCATCTTGGAATTCTCACATGCCTTTCCTCTCCCTCTGCCTCTGCCTCGCCCACCTCGTCCACGGCCCCTGCCCTTGGCCTCCCCTTCAGCTTTCTCTTGCTTCATCGACTCCTTGAGTTTCAATTGTTCTCTGCGAGTAAGCACCTGGCAAGCTGTTGAGCAGGGCTTGCAAAATGTCCAAACACACCTGAACTATAGTTGGCCTCCTGAACAACCAGGAATGTAGAGGAATAGTCCATGCATAATTTGGAAGTAACACGGGTTTGTGAACAAATCCGATGGAATAGATTTAGACACCAAACAATTTCAACAAAAGGTGCATGGGCCTTGGGAGGTTCAGCAGGGGTACCATTCTTCACAGCTGCCGCGGCATCTTCTGGAAACAAAGCGCGTTTCACCTCCTCCTCCTCGTTGGCCAGCATAGCGCCCACAGCACTTGGAAGCGCTTCCGACTCCATAGGCAAAGTAGGGTCACCGTCTTTGCCGAATGGCTGCGACTCCTGCACCATCCAAACTGCGGTCTTCATCGGATGCGTTGCAACAGTAGTTGCAGCCGAGTTCTGGTTGACCATGTGCAAATCTTCTTGGACCCGCTTCTCCAAGGACCTGGAATTCAACAAAGCTGCAGTTGGTCTAGCACCCTGAGAACCTATATAAAGGCTCGTGGTCAGACCTGTTGGTATACCTCGCTTTAACCACGGAAGTTTGTGGAAAAAACTTAGGCTGCGGCTCTGCTTTCTGGAGTGCAAGTTCAAGCTCATGGAGTTTCTTCTTCAACTCCTTCACACGGTGCTCCTTCGACTCTGCAGCACTAGACATGTCACTGGCTTTGGCTTGGCATGAGGTCTCTGACTTCACAAGCTTTTCAGGACTGTCTTCAAGCACAACGACTTCACTGGCAGACTGCTTCGGCTCAAGCTGGTCTGCGAATTCACCTTGGAGAGGACGTGCCACTGGCCTGGCAGTGGCTTCCTCAGCACCCTTCCCATCATCAGGCCATTGAGAATCATGCATGAACTCCCGGGTGTTTGGGCTGATCTCTGCACTGTCAGACAGGCCAGACTCAGACAGCTTCGATGCCAAAAGTCTCTCAAACCAACTGTCATCAGGGCCCTCATCAGCTGAATCATCCGAGTTGAACAGGACAGCCTCCTGGGCCTCTTTGTCCTCTTCAGTAGCGTCAACACCCTCGGTGTGGTTGAGCGGCTGCAGGGCTTCAAGAACAACAGCAAGCGTACCAATTCATGCAAGCTCAACAGTTTCGATTCGTGTGGACACTGGAAAACACCAAACGATACAATTTAACATTTCACGTGTGTGCACATTACTTTAGCTGCTCCACTGTCGGGCCTGGATGGTGGGATCCAAAATCCGCTGGAGCTCGAGGAACTCAAGATCCTGGGCAGGTATCCAAACAACGTTGGGAGCACATGCAATTAAAAGGTTGGACCGAGTCGGCTGGAGTGCCCATTTCCCCTGTTGAAGCGCCGAGAAAAACACCCAGATGGGCGCGATTCACCAAAGCAGCTCTAAAACAAAAATATTTTCCCCACACCCAACTTTACCCACAAACATCTTCTTCAGTTGGGTCACTGTGTGCCCACTGCATTGGCGTGAAGCAAACACTGAAAACAACAACAAATTAACGCAAGTAAGAGTCGACTGACCCCAAGTTCTTGTGAGTCTTCATTTTGATGAAGCTGCAGAAGGACTTGCAGGCCCATGAGTCAATTTTGACCAGATCCTTCAGATTGACCAAGTGCAACTTGGTTCTGAATAGTCCGATCCTTGCAAAGTTGGCAGGGAAATGCAAAGTTGCATCTGAACTTAGAGTAGACCCAACTTATCGGGGTGATAGGATCTTGTGGCAAAACTTGCTATATAGACAGCTAAGGGGCTCCCGGGCAAGCGGCTTCAAGTAGGGAATTGGATGCTCTGGTGTCGATGCCATTTTCTTAAGCAATGGGATCAAGACGTGTTTGTTGAGAACCGCATCTTTGATGCAAATCTTGAGTTGCTCCCCAACCTTCTTAGGCTGAAAAAGGCGACCCTTCTCCACCATCGCCAGCCGAACAGCTGGTGCATCCATCCACTCACGGTAGACATTATCCACCTTGCAGGAGCCTTCACTCGCCTGCTGGGCCGCCTTTGAAGGCATGGTGTGGACAGTTGGCGTTGAGCAACTGCTGCAGACCTTTTCAGCCTAAATGCTTCACATTCATATATCAGTTCAAGTTCATGCACATGAACATCGTCCAGCTCCCCTTAACAAACTACAGTACTGTAGAGCATGGTTGACTCAGCCTGGGCGACCTTCTTGACTCCTTCCACCTCTCTGCTCTGCAGGCCAGCTGAGCGTACGACTTCAGTTCGCCAGCAAAAGCAGCGCATGGAACACGGATGGCGGGTGGACCAGGGAAGATTCAGAAAGATAAGTGCACATGTGTTCAAGTGATCCTGAAAACATGGTCATTGACTTCAATAGTTTGAAGTTCTTTGTTGACTTCATGCACGCGGCTGTGAAACACCTTTCCATTCAGCAGCACAGAAGACTCAAGTCTCAAAAACCCGGTTTTTGATACCCCCCCCCTCAAAAGGAAGGTTGTGATGTATAAAACCCGGTTTTTCACAAAAAACCTTTGTTTTGCACCAGGGGGGGTGCCCATGGTATGATATATATATACATGCATATTAATACTACTAAATAGCGGTTTGTACGATAGTCACAACCTGAGTGGTTTGAGTAGTTCACATCAAACAGAGCGCAGCCCGCGGTTTGTTGGTTTGGGCCGCCGGATGTTTATGCATGTTACTTTACATTTGTTCAGCTTCTTGTTTGATTGCTCATATTGCGGGTCTTGGCAGACATGTTACTTAGCATCACATAATAGTTTGGTGATACGCAAAAGAAAACATAGATATCAAAGGAATTCAAAGGAGAACGACATTGTTCAGGAACTTGGGCTGTCATCGCGGTCCCAGGTTTTTGTTCAAGCTGCAAGCTCCGGCTGCAAGCTTGCCATTTACAGATTTGTCATCTCCAATCACCATGTTCCATGTTCTTCTCAGGAACAGACCCGAGATCTTCGCGGAGAGTCGTGAGTGAAGCGTCGCGAGAGAAGAAGGCGTCCTCATGAAGTCGTCCGGCCACCGTCCTCCGGATGTTTTGGTCAGCTTCCTGGCCCTTTTTGATCCCCCATGATTGATCCTCTATGAAATGAGTAAAAGGAATAGCTGCCAGGACGTACCGCCAGACAAGGGGGATCCTTTTTGAAGGTTTGGATTCTGCATGTGAACTCACCCTGATATGCAAACTCTATGGTTTATACCAACCGCGCGAGTGGCTTTAGTCCTACAAAGTCCACATCGACCGAGCACCAATGAGCACCATGCCTCAGTGGTTTGGCCTGGGCGGCTTCGTGTGGTTTGGCCTGGGTGGCTTCCGTCGAACTCAGCCCATTCCGGGCGGCCGCGTTTGGTGCGCGTTTTGGTTCAGCATCGTTTTCTCAGTCTTTTGAATGTTGGCGGATGGAAAATCGGAACTGAGGGTGTCGAGCTGGTCAGGTTCCCTCTGGAAGACTTGTGTGACTGATGCAACAGGATTGGTGTTCTTTTTTCTCCGTTAAGCAGCAGTTAAGTATACATAATTAATATAACCAGTGACAATAATGTAAGTTTGCCGAGTTACATTGCCTGTCTCTACGTGGCCTCGTCTTTTTAACTTGTCCAGCTGAGATATATTAGAATTCATGAGCTCATGATGGATTGAACATGCTTGAATGGGGACAGCCAATATTCAACAATAAAGCAGACATATATCACATAACATGAAAATCATTGCTTTGCACAAGAAGCACGCGGTGTTTAACAAGCTTGCCAATTCAACGGTGATTCATTGCCACCATTGGCCTATGATTCTATGATTGATGATGTCATATCTCATAGCAGCACCACTTGGAAACCGGTAGCACCTACCATATTAGCACATATTAGCACCATGGAGACAGCAGACGCGATTCCTCCGAGTCGACCGATTTCCATCGCCGAAGAGCGCCAACTGTGGGCGCGGACGCGTTCCAAACGCCATGGCCTGATGTCGAGTCCAAGACTCAGATCGTAGGACTCAGATCGGTTCCGCAACTCCCTTAGTTCAGCGTTTGGTGGTTATAGGATGTTGGGGGGACTGGGAGATATCCCAGATGTTGGGTGCACTGGATTTCGGACTCAGATCGGATAAGTATCGCTCTCTTCCGAGACGGGTGAGAGCGAAAACGGTGGACCGTCACTCGGCACCTTGGCTCAAAGAATCGAAGACGCAAGGCAAAGCCTATGGCATGCTGAAGTCCTTCTCCGGGCAGGCGGACCGTTGTATGTACAATGAACCCACGCTTGACCAGAGTTACCAATAGTTCTCATGCAAAAACTTGAGCATCCCATGGTTGCCCTTTCGGTGAAAACTCATAAATACATGTTTGGTTTTCAGATTAGTAAGTGCACCTGCAGGGCATGAACATGCAACTGGATTGAACTCTTACGTCTTACCCACGATACGCTGTCGGGAGGGGCAGTCTTGACGTTGTGCTTGGATGACTCCTTAACCATCCTTAACCAAAACTTTGAAGAACCACAAGCTTCCCCTTCCCCTTTCTTGCCAACCTCCAAAAACCATACAAGACTTCCATGATTTGCCTCAACCCCAGGCCTTTACCTTTGCAAAGTTCACACCCAAGCTTGCCAGGGCCCTGGCTTGCCGCCCTTGCCCTCGAAGCGGCCATCTCCACCAGCAGGCGTTGTCGGTAAACATTGGGTTTTTGAAGAAGGGAACTATTCCAGGCCAATCTTCTCTAAATCAGGGTTGGAGCCAGTTTGCACTTTCTTTTTTTCCAACAGCATTGCATCGTTTTCTTGTAAACAAATTGTAAAGAAGAGGTTCAGGTTCAAATGGCCGAGTTGGACACCACGTTGGACGCCACGTTGGACGCCCAGTTTCTGCAGGCTTTCCAGCCCCTGCCGGCTCAGCGACCCGAGCGGCGTTGGCCAGGCCCATTGGCAGTGGTTCCACGCTCGGAGTTTGTGTTGGGACTAACAACGGCGTGTGAGGTCACTGGGACTCCAAAAGGAACATGGACAATGAATGATGGAGATAATGATGACATAGCATGTTCTGGGTGTGAAACTCGCATTCCAGTCACAGTTGAACTAGCATATTCACTTGTTCAAGATTGGTGTATCTTCGTTTGGGCAGGCAACCAAGAAAAGACACCTTTGCGATCCTTATCTTGAGATGCTAGAAACAGGCCCTGTTCCCTGTGTGGTCCAATTTCACCTTACAAAAGGCCGCCGCTGGTCGGTCAACTTGTGGATTGCATGCAATAAGATACCCTTGGTCGCCCTTGGTTGAACCAAAACAACACAAGTGCCCAGAAAAAGTGGAAGAAGTGTGGGACCATAAAGACGACATCTCAATATAGATGGAATTGCTGGAAAGAGTAGCAAGAATGGGAACATTAGATCATCGCGACTCGCTACTCCTGACATACTTCTTCTTGCGGGCTTGTCCAAGACTTGCACCAGCTAAGTTCTTTCAGGAGCAAGAATCATGAGTCCTACGACTATGTCCTACTTGTTCTCAAGGAAAGCCAGGGAGACAATTTGTGTGAAGCAACGTCGAATCTTTTTGAGAGTTCACTCAGCGACCGCCAGACCCGAAAGCAGGGGTGCGGAAATGGCCCGCTTCCAGGCGCTCCCACTCGGCTTCAGCCCTACGGCACAAAGGCTGGGGTGTGTTCATGGACGAAAGTGCTGAAACAAAAAGCACTGCTTAAGGCTTCCAGTGTCTTTTTTGAAGGGTCAAAGTGGTGCAGGATAGATTCTTGCAACACTCTTAGAGGGGTTTCACAATGGTTAGACCCACCAAACAAGTGGTTCAGTTGACATAGAAGCACATGTTTAGCCAGAACGTCGCCTTCACCGTGGGCCATGTACATGTGGCCATTCTTTTGCTGAAGTTGCACCTGCAAAATTCAGAGATTGAATCCTGGGCATCCTCCGATCTTCCGAATAGCGGTGGGAATTGGTGTGGCCAATGTTCCCAGCTTTGCTGACACAAGTGTGTGTTCTTGAGATGTCAATGGATGTTATGTTGTGTGGTTTTAAATGTATTTCTATGTATTTATTTTTGCAGTACAGCATGTAAAGCATGAGCATAGAATATCGTAGTCAATTCCGCATTATACTATATCCACCACAATTCTCATGATCTACATTGACGCAGACAATTATTGTGGTTCGGAGTTTATTAGTGGTTTTGGTGTTTTGGTTTGCCAAATCAATGGTCAATGGTCCAGGTGGGGTGTAACTTTGTTTCGATCAAGTGTGCAACCTTCGTGTTGAATCTCTTCAAAACTGCGAGCCTGCAGCAGCATGTGGCCGCATGCTGGCAGCATGCAGCAGCCTAGCCCCAAGAGTTGTTTGTTCCTTTCAGATTTGCCAGTAGACTCAGTAGACTCTACTGCTGCAGGTCTATACAAAGGTTTGGCTCAACTTTAGGTGCTGACCGTGTGTCAGCCTGTCCGCCCCCGAGCATGAGAACGGTGTACCTGGGCCCTGACTTCACCTACTCCACTTCAGTAGACTGTTGATCAACAGTCGACCCCTCTATATGGAGATGGCACCATTCTGGTTATGGCGGGTTGAGTGGCGGGAGACCCAGACGAACGGAAGCTTCGACCCAACACTCCCTTTCCCAAACTTGTTTTTGCACCAATCCATGGAGTCATGGAGTCGACGACTGAGTAATTAGACTCTCCAGCTTGTCCATCTTGAGTCCAATCGTCCCAAAAGCCGAGCCATGTTCCGTCCGCCGATCCGCGCCGATCCGCATGGAAACCGCCGCCACGCGGGTTCCACGCGTCGGAGACGCGGCGTGTCCAAACGCGGCAGGTCGCTTGTCTCCACTGAAGGTGGCGGCGCGGACCGAAGGGATGGCCTCCACGGAGCCGTCCGGTGGCCGAGCTGGGCCGAGCTGAGCGCTGGGCGGGAGAGCCGTCGTCTGCGGTTGGTGAGTGGAGCGGGTGAGGCGCGGTGTCGCGCTTAAGTATGGGAGGGGTTTTGGAAGCACATGGGAAGATATATATTTGTACAATATTGTGCAATACTATATAGTCAAGTCAGATATATCATGAGTCGCTTGTTGATGTGAAAACACACGACATCTAGAGCATCATTGATAGGCTTTGTCGCAGTGTTCGAAGGATTAGTGTGGCCAAGCGAGCATAAGGGATCATGAAAGATAAAAGTTAGAGTGGAGTCCAAAGCTTAAGTGCTTAAAATTGCGTTTGTTTCAGAACATATGGCAGCTGAGGTGGTTGTTCGGCAGATGTTTGGAAGTGTTCTGTCTATCATCGGTTTCATCTTCAAATCACGGTTGGGTGCTTTGGCAGCTCCAGCTCAACTCTTCAATGCCTGTTGGCCATCGCTTCACACGTTTCTGCTGGATTCTGCTGGTAGACTTCCAATCTCTTGGGCCTCTGCTATTCTGCTCTCGACAATTCGTCACCATGAAGTCTTCACATCCTCCGGGCGGAATGGACCCCCCCCACAGTCCGGACGGTTTGAAGTACTTGGCCAATGCCCAGGACCCGCCTGTGTCACGCGTCCTCCAAAGTGCTGGACTTGGCGCGACAAGCCGAAGAGGCATGGCCGATGGTGATGTGTTGATCCTGAAGCACTGGACCTGGTCTTCATGAGGCAGAAATCAGAGCAATGAAATGGAAACACCTCACGGGTTTGCTGTAGGCACGAGTTTGTGGCTCATGGCACCCCTATGCAAGATGATGAAAGCGTGGTTGACCTTCCAAAGTGAACAAAAAGGAAGGCCCAGACATTGTGATTCCATTAAAGCAGCCGTATTTTCGGTAGTACCAACCCATACCCAAACCTAGTATGACAAAATAGCCTTTCTGCCATTCTTTCAATCACATGTTTATTATCGTTTATATCAATGTTGCTTCCGGTTTGCTTGGCCAAATGCCAGGTTCTCCAGGTTGGCGATTGGTCGGTGAGAAAGCTTCCCGACAACCCTGAGCTTGCTTTCGTGCGGAGCTTGGCGCAGACACGGTTTCGCGGTTTTGAGGCACAGCCAAACAGTTCTGCGGCGCAGCTCTTGACACAGCTTGAGTTTGCCACACATGGTTCTTAGCACTAAGCTAGCATTTGTTCACCAGAATCCGGGTCGCCAGACTCTGGGTTTGCATGGCAGGTCTACTTGAATGAGCGAGAGGGCCGTGTTGAGGTTCCACCACACGCGGCCGCACCCGGCTTTGTGGCGTTGCGCATCTAGCATGTTGAGCTGCTTCGATTCCACTGAGCACCTTGAAGGGTGATCTGCTTTGGCTGTGTTTGACGTGGGGAGAACCACTCCAAGAGTTCTTTGATTGTTTTTGTATGGTTGATTTATTGTGAAATTTAATTTAGTCAGGATCAATATCAATGAGGGTGTTTTGTAAAGGGTTTGTTCAGGGATGTTCAGGGTTCCTGTTTTAAGACATCCCTGTGTATCAAACAGGCTAGCGGGCTGGTACCATAGACAACAACACGTTTTACGGTATGTTTGGAGATTCACTGTGATCTCTCCGATGACTTTTGGCAAATTTCTCTAGAAACATGATAAAATAGTGGCAGCATGTGGCAGCTACCGATGACAATTGCTTCATTGTAATTACATGTAGTTACTGTCAACCTTCGATGCATCTTGCAATATTGCTGTAGAATTCCAAGCTTAGAATTGGAACTCATTTCCTGGGTGCCTTAAGAGCTCTAAACGCACCATATCACCCGGAGGAGCGTGGCGGACCCGCCCGCGTTGTCGCCCCGCAGGTCCAGGCACCCCAGCAAGTCATCGACGAGCTCGAGGCCGAAGGCCAGTGAAGACTGGTCATGGGTGGTCCCTCAGAATAAAGAAATCCGTCCAAACGGCTCCATGGCAGGGGTCGTAGCCTTTGTGGCAGTGGTCCGGACCTTGAAAGCTCCAAACCCCTGAGAAGATAGCAGGTCATTCGTCCACGGTCCTATTGCTATCGGAAGACTATTGGTGGGTCCACCGTGGGTCAGAAATTGGACGATTGGGAGTTCCTCCACCGGAAGACTCTGGTGGAACGTCATGTTTTGGGGGATTCATGGTGACGGTCTGACGGACATTCCAAAGGCACTATTCATCCATCTTCATCCCTCCATTCCAGCGGAATGACGTGGACGTGGCCATGGATTCCCCGGCATCCCCAGAGGTGATTCATATACATCTGACATGGTTTTGAAATCACCTCTGTTTGACCACCTTGTTTGATCGAACATCTAACAGGTGGTCTAATTGGACACCATGTTCTTCCCACCTTCGGCTGTTCCATCCAGTGCGCTGGACCTTTTCACTGGACCGAATTCCATGCAGCGCCGAGAAATTCATCATTTCAGTCAGCCGCCCTGATGGCAGGGTTTATATATATATATATACAGTGGAATATTAGTGGAACCTTTTGTGCCCTCAGAAGTGGTATTGTGTGGCGTGGTATACCCTAATAACTGCTGGTTAAAGCAAAAAACAATCAAACAACGTCAACGGCCACAATGGTGGATGACAGTCACGTAATATACGGATCTTGATAAAGCCCAGTCCATCCGCCGCGTCCTGAGGTACCCTCCTTCCTCACGTTCCATGGTTTGTGGTCCTCCGACTCACGTTCCTTTGAGGGTAAGACGATGTGTCCTTCCGAAGACCAAACGAAACAGGGTGGTCGTCAGGGTGGTTGTCCACTTCGGTGATCTGTTCCTCGTCGGACGAGGGGTTCGTCTACGGCAGCCAAGTGCCAGGCCGAGAAGAGGAAGGTCCTGATGATCCTGATGTCGAGACCGCTGAGGTGCCGTGTGCTGCATCTTCTGGAGATAGGACAGATACAGTAGGTCTCAGGTAGGGACTCGTCGTGTGGAGCTTTTTGGGCATTGATTTGTTCTTAGTTTTGTTCTGGGATGTTGCACTGTTGAACTAGGAATTCAAATGTCATACATCCCTAAGGGGAGTTCAATAATTGTCCGGTTGATGGCAGCTTCAAGATGAGTTTAGATCTCCTTTAAAAAGAGTTAAAAAGGATCCATCTTGTGGTGGTGCCATTGAGACGTCCCATCCTTGGTGGTTTCGATGGTGCCATGGTGAATCACCGTCATTCATCTCTGTCAGAGTTCCAAGCGACGTTTTGTGGTTTCACCTCTTGATATTTCTTAATAGTTGGTGTCTCAACGAACGTCTGCATCACCTGTTTGATGCTTAGTAGGGAGGAAATGAGTCTCCAATAGAGATTCCTTCAAACTTTGGATCCATTCCCTCATTCCCTACTACTGTAAGCACAGGTCAGTCATTTCTTTTCACCGGCTCCACCTCTGCCGGAGCCCAGGAACCGCTCTACCGACGGATCTTGCTGGGTGCCAAGACGGAGGCCTTTTTTCGCCGGTACAGATGACCGTGAAAGAAGAATTGATGTTGGCTGTTGGACTCATGTCACTCTAAAGCATCACATTGGCGCATCGCAAAGCTCCTTCAGTGACTCACATTTAAATGAGGTCCAAGTGACAACAAGGAAGCTGGTCCCAATGAGGTTCCCATTCGGAGCAAGAAAAACACATTGAGATGACCCATGGGCCCATGGTGTCGTTCCCAAGGTCTTTTGTTCGTGGCCTTTGACCAAGAAGAACAGTCTGACTTTGAACAAGCCTCTTCTTACATTTTAAGTTACTGTATCAATATGTGCACTCCTTCTTGCATGATCCCCAGTTGTATATCACCTGGGTCACTTGTGACCAGCCACAAGACACACAGTGATCAGCAAGTTTACCCCATGCTCCAGCCCGATGAGCATTGCAAGATTTGTTCTGATGGGAGGTGCCTTTGCGCATGGCTCGAGATATTCTGGAAGCCATCCGTGACTTGGCGCAACGGCCCTCAGTTTCAAGGCATGAAGATGTGGAGGCTTTTGTAGGCCAGATTCCAATGGTCGTCACGTGTGGGTCCCTCAACCATGGATGAAGGTTTGTTTGCTCCCTATAGACCCCGATCAGGCCCCAAGATGATTGAAGTTTGGGCTTCAGCCCCTGGATTCTCAAAGTCATAGATTTGAAGAAGGAGACCTTGCTTGTTTGCAAGCAAGGATGCAACTTGATGATAAACCCTTATTTGCTGTGGCTGCAAGCCAGAGAAAACACCTAGTTATTGGATTTGATCCCCTATGTGTCCTTCAGTTAGTTGTCTCCGGCCATTCGCTGAAAATGGTTTCGATGCTCTCAAACAGCAACCGGCTTGGTGAACCACCAGCCACTGCACACCACGGGACGCAGGTGAAGATCCCAGCATTTTTGAGCAGCTCCAAGGTCGCTTTTCGGATCTGTCCCTCGGCGAGAGCGTCGTCGCTGACGCGTGGAACCTTTTTCAGAGGTCGAAGGAGACCGACTCGCAGTAGAGCATTTCTTGCGGGGAGTCCATGGTGTTTTGGCTTGTTGGAGCTGGGGATAGCGCAAGACCGGTGCCCCTCGACAGACGGTGCCCTTAGTGACTCCATTGCGACGTCCATGCCGTTGGTGCTCCAACTCGCACAGATGTCGGACCGTAGACGCTGACCAGGCCGGAGGAGTCATTGCTGAGCCTTGAAGATGGTTTGGGGGAGGTGCCTTCGGTCGTGAATCTGGCGGTCGCCCACAGCATGTGAATTCCATGGCGGTGGCCTTGGAAGTCTTGGGTCCTTAAGAAGCTTTAAACACTTCTAAATGTTGTGGAGAAAGTACGGGTCAAGATTCAGGAGACTCGACGACTAATTACCCAGACCCAAACTGGCAGACCTGTAACCTGGCCACCTGGCCCTACTTGTGGTGTCGCCCTGGCTTAGGAGGTTTGGCAGCTTGGTTTCGTAGAAGATGGATGCGGATGCGGTTTTGAGAAACTGGAGTCAGTGAATGAAAAACATGCTGTTCATTCTTGGTTGAACCTCCTTCAAGAGGAGGGGTGACCAGACATGACAAGACCTTCTCGGAACCTCAAGCTGTAGGCGCTTCTCCGTCCTTCATGAGTTTTTCAGAATCTGAATCAACACTAAGCAAGACACTCCAATCATATCTCACCGTCGCCGTCGCACGTCACTCGCACGGAGGCCCCTGACTCTCCAAGCCATGCCACAGGAGTTGGAAGCTGTGGCCCTTCAGATGCAGCCAGGAGAGGTCTCAGAGGTTCTTGGCACCGAGGCACGCGTCCGAGTTGGACTCCGCCGTCCAGTCCCGCGCGAGTCCAACTCGTCGTCCAGACGGCCTTTGTGTTTCGGTTTGAGTGATTGGTGTAGAATCATGTGTTGTTGGGTAGATCCTATCCCTGTTCATGGAGGTGCTGCTTATTGCATCCTTCTTTGAATGCAAGACACATTAAGACACACGAGTATATCCTGGCATGATCATCATTGTGGAATGTGTTTGCATTTTCGAACTGAAACTTCATCTATTCTATACTCTATATACCTCTAAAATTATTTCTATGTTTATTTCTTGTATTTCAGAAGCTCCGGGCCAACTTGTCATTTTCCAGACCGTGTCAGCAACTGCAGTTTTGCTCGTTTGATGCGCTGTAGGCCGGCATGCAGATCCTCTTGAGGGTTCAGTGAGAATTCAGCGGCTTAGTCCACTCCAGGGTTCACTTGCGGAGAGTCACCCTGGTTCACTGAGTGGCAGGAACCGTCCATGTGTTTGCATTGAGCACCTATGAGTTCTTGCAAGAATGTCACATTGTGTTTGTTGTTTTTCTGTTTTTTGGACATGCAAGTGAATTTGTTGAACACGTGCACATAGGGGGATCATCCCTGGCGGTCTTTGAACTGCTTTGTGGGGTGCCACATGATTCCAATCGTTGGAACCTTGCTCGCAAAAGTGTCCCTCGCTCATGAGTGAATCAAGCTAAAGCAATTCAAATCCAAGTTGGCCCTATTGATCGATCATGATCAATCAACACGTTAACATGGATAATTGTTTTGAAGCAAAGATCTGCTCGCTTTGCGAGCTCAGCAAGGTGATTTCGGCGACCTCACCGAATCTTTTTGGTCTCACCAACTAGACGAATAGAGCGCCAAGTAGACGATGGTGAAACCGAAGTACTGACGTGTTCATGCAGATTCGGTGCTCGCTAACTCGATGGACCATCGAGACATAGATGGAAGACCCCCTATTGTATTACTATATTATATATACATGTATTGCACTCAAAGGATTTCAAGAGACTGTTTCCGGGTTTGTGAAAGGAAGAATTCCCGCAGCGGTCTGTTGGGGGATACTGCAAAGAACCAAGGGGTGCTCCAGGGCTGAGGGTTGTGATGCATTGTTTTCAGTTTTCTTCAATGTCAACTCAACCAGCAGTAAGACTTCAACCACACTAGCTGCTGACCGTGTGTTTTTGCTGCTCATTACCTCACATGACGATGGGTTGACTCATGGTTTCACGGTTTCAAATCCTGAATGACATGCGGCACAACCACCATCCACACAGCCATCACCTCCCGCACATGCCACTCGGTTTGAAAGACCCTTTGTATATATACTTCATATTCTGAAGCAAACAGAGCATAACATTCGTCATTTTGACCCGCTATGGAGGCAATGTCGTGCATCACCAGAGTCATCCTTTTAGTTGCAAAGCTCATTGGTGGCTCAGTCAGCTCCAGCTGCTCCGTTTCACAAGCCATGCTGCAGATCCGTGTGCTGTCAGGGGCATTGGCTGCTGAACTTCAGGAAGATGACTTAGGTCAAGTCGTTCACAGCGTCGAGCCTGTGAGGGCACTCAAAGAGTATCTGGCAGTCAAGGTTGGTGTTCCGAGATTCCGGCAAAGACTTTTCAGGGAAAACCTCGAGTTGCAAGATGAAGATCTTGTAACGCTAGGAGGATGCGTAGGACCCTTAGATTGGGTGATTTTGGACTTTCAAGTTCCTGAAGCTGCAGAACAGCTATCATTTGCTTCGGCATGTCGAAAAGGCCTGTCAGAGAAGATTGAAATGATGCTTCAAGCTCCATACAATCCCAATATTTATCTACCTTGCGCACGCTGCACCCGCACACCTTTGCAGTTGGCAAGCCGGTATGGGCATTTAAAAGTGGTGCAAAAACTGCTTGAGGCAGGAGCTGAGGAGGACGCAGCCACACGCAGTGGCAGAACTGCCTTGCACATGGCAAGTGAAGCTGGACACCTAGAAGTTGTGCGACAACTTTTGGAAGCAGGAGCCAGCGAGGTTGCTGCAGCACAAAATGGCTCCACGGCTTTGCACTGGGCCAGTCGGAATGGGCACTTGGAAGTAGTGCAAGAGCTCCTGCAGGTAGGATTTGAAAAGGAGGCCGTGGCAGAGAATGGTCAAACAGCTTTGCACTTAGCAAGTGCGAGAGGGCAATTGGAAGTGGTGCGAGAGTTGCTGAAGGCAGGAGCTGAAAAGGATGCTGTGGCAGAAGATGGTACATCAGTTTTGCACTGGGCTAGTCAAGCTGGACACCTAGAAGTTGTACGACAACTTTTGGAAGCAGGAGCCAGCGAGGTTGCAGCACAAAATGGCTCCACCGCTTTGCACTGGGCCAGTCGGAATGGGCACTTGGAAGTAGTGCAAGAGCTCCTGCAGGCAGGAGCTGAAAAGGAGGCCGTGGCAGAGAATGGCCAAACAGCTTTGCACTGGGCAAGTGAAGCAGGGCATTTGGAAGTGGTGCGAGAGTTGCTGAAGGCAGGAGCTGAAAAGGATGCTGTGGCAGAAGATGGCTCAACGGCTTTGCTCAAGGCAAGTCAGAATGAGCACTGGGAGGTGGTGGAGCTGTTGGCTGGAACTTTGCATTCAAAAGACGTCCATGAAACACGTGTACAGAAAGTTATTATCTATGTGATGTTTTTTCTTGCACTTAGCAGCTGAGAACTGTGGAAGCACATGTACAGCGGCTCAGTTGTTGGCTAGCCAGCAACTAGCAAGGACAGAGCCCACGTCATGCTATGCGGCAAAACTTCTTGGGGAAGATTGTTTGCAGACGCCATATGACTAAACACCCTGGTTCTTCCAAGTGACCCTGTGAGCACCCAGGTTAAGGTCACGTCAGCCTCTTAAAGGGTCATGTCACACCCTCCAGTTCAGTCACAAGAAGAAGCTGGACCATGGAGAAGTTGTGGTTTTGAGCTCCCGAACTTGGAGCGGCTCTTTTTCCAATTCGCACCTAAAAAAAGCACGCGGGGCCTATGGGATCACTTTTAGGTCCGGCAGTGTTTCGAGTGAACTCTGGCGTAAAGGAGTTTGTATGACAACAAAGGGGAAGCGTTGCCAGGTGCCTCACTCACATGAAATTGGAAGATCCCTTGCTTGCAGAGAAACAATCCCCTTCCCCCATTGGCCCTTGGGTCATGTTCTACACTACTTCCAAAAGTAAAAGTCTGTGGCTTAGAACTGGAGAGCGATGGGGGCTGTTGTAATAACCCCGCGGTCAGCGGTTTAGTATTGGCATGCACCTTAACACTACTAATGCATTCCTACCCCAGAAAACGATAAGAGTAAAAAAAACGATAACAATGATTATACCTGCGCATTCAGAACAAAAAGCTACTAGGGGCTCCTGGCCTTACTACTAGGAACAAGAAGCTGCTAGGGACTCCGGGCCTTACTACTAGGAACAAGAAGCTACTAGGGACTCCTTGCCTTACTACAAAGCAACATCGCTACCAGGAACAAGAAGCTGTTAGGGGCTCCTGGCCTTACTACTAGGAACTGAATGGGCTGTTTGGTCCATATGCTGCAGCTGTTTACATGAACCACGAAAAGGGCAACCTGCAGAGGTGTCCAAAAAGCAGCCCTGGTGGGCAAGTACCCATTTGACTGTTTTCGTTAGACCTTTTGAAGGGCAGAAGTGTGCGATGTGGTAGTCTTGTTTAGCTGTCTATATCTGATCTTTGCTGCTGCCATGTCTTTACCACCAAAGACGGTGCACGCCTTGGTACAGGCAGTGCTACGGGATCTTGAAGTAGGACCATGTAGACCACCAAAGGACATCTTTTGATTTGTGATCTTCCACCAAAGATGCTTTCACCTGAGAAAACGATAAGAGTAGAACAAAAACGATAACATGGTTTCGAGGTATTGCCAAAGACACGGGGTTTTTACAACACCCCAAATGTCTGAACAAAAATGACCATTTCACTCGAGGCAGTGCTTGGAGAAGGATTTCATGGCGATGTTCTGTTTCATGGCTTTCACCATTGTTCACAATTGTTTCATCCAAAAAATGACTCGCCCTCCATGATCTCACGTGTTTGGGCCCCCCCCCCCCACAACGCGGGTGGAGTCCTGGAAGGCGTCGTCCCTTGCGAGCTCTCCGGCTATCGCGGCCATCGGCTCCGCTATCGGAACCCCTTTCAGCCCTCAAGACTTCTAGGGTTCCGGTAGCGTGACTTTTCCATTCAGGCGCTTCATCCGCGTTCAGAATGGGCGTCGCGTGGGGTCGCACAATGGAGGAGAATCATGGGTTAAGCACTTGAGATCCGTTGTAGTTCTTTGATCCAGCGGAGGCCTGCGGCAGTGGGCACCGTCACTCATGACCAAAGGTTGACGTACGGATCTAACAAAGTATTATATAGACTCCACGTGACTCCACTGATAGATCTGATAGGCCTTTTAAATTTGAAATGTAGATTCAAGTGTGCTGTTGGGTGGGTAGCAGTAGCAGATACTCAGGTAGGTTATGTTGTGCCCGAATCATATGGCTTAAGAGTGGCTTAAGAGTACCCATACACTCCATGTATGGAATATATGCCTACATTGACCCCCCAAACCCACCCAATGTAGGCATCTATGGCAGTCCCATGGGTCGCGTCTGGGGTATGTCACCCCGGTCGTCGACCACCGGTCGTTGTCGTTGAGGGATTGCGCTCGAGTCTTCCTCGAGTCACCACAGCGGCTTCGGCTTGGACAAAGCAAGATGGAACTCCCAGGTTGGGTCCAGACTGATCAGATTTTTGCAATCCTCAAGTCCAAACGCTCCAAGCTGGCCCCCTTTGGGGTCGCACCATTTTACCTTGACACCCATGTTTGGTAGGTTTATTGCCTTTTTGTCCTGACTGTTGAGGGTCTCCCCGTTCTCCCGGCGATGTCGCACCCAGAGGTGTCCCCCTTGAGATGAATGGCCGACCATATAGGACCGCTGACGTTGTTGCAAGTGGTCCAGGCGAAATCAAGAGGTGATATATGATGGTATATGCACATGGGAGGGAAACCCTGATGCGTAGGCAGAACGCTTCGTTTGGCACTCAACAATAGGATGCACATGGATGCACTGATCCAAAAAGGCATACAGTAATTATATATATAATTGCTCTACTTGGGGTCTTTACGTGTTTGCCCCGAACTCACAACTCCAGCTGCTGCGGCCTGATAGTCAATGATAGTCAGTGGTTTCTTGTGGAATGAAGTATTGCGGAGCTGTGCGTAGTTGAAACATCAGGTGTTCTCCTCAACATCGCTGTAATTTGAAGATCGGAAGATCCAGGTCAAGGTCTTGAAGTTATGAATGGGAATGAACGGAGCTGGCAGTTGACATTTACAGGAAGACAATCCTGAACTAATTCGGCTATATAATCTTGATTACTCATGATCCAGGGTTCACTAACGCAAAGGCGGACCCAGTGTTGCAGCAGTTCAAGGGGTGTGTTTTCCATTTCCCCTACTCTTTTGCTTCGCCCTTCGCATGGTATGAACTTTGCACAACATCTACCCTTTACAGAACATACGAAAGCAACATCGAGTTTTGCTAGTTGTTTCAATCACTGGGCTCTCAGCCCACAAAAGCCTTGCACTTGAGGACATTAATTGCCGGAGTGGTGTCCAGCGCTGGGAACCAAGCCTTGCGAGTAAGTGAACGGTGAAGAATCAAACTTGG